TATAGTCCTCCCCTCGACAGTTGATGAGGCCAGCTGCGAAGATCGACCTTCGTACCTAGAACGCAAGATTGTCGTAATACTGGGGCCCGCTGACGGTTTAACCCGAACGAACGCATCCGTTCAGGACCCCAGGCGAACAGGCGAGGGACCTCAAGCAGAGGGTTTCATCTGCTCGAAAACCATTGAGGATAACAATTACTTTAGACACATTTGAGGATCATCAGACTACAGTGGAACAAGTGATCAATGTAATCAATTCAAGAAAAAAACACTCAGGATTCAGTTTAGATAGCCAGTGTGCCTCCTTCTTACAGATATGGTGAAAACAAGAATATCAATGATAACGTGATTTATGCCTTCGATTCCACGAAGAAAATACCGAAATTCTTGGGAAACGTACTGAACACAGCAAGAACTTCAAATGTACTGAAAAAAAGGTAGATATTCGAGACTAAAATGAGTCATCCAACCCGAGAGCTGTAATGGGTTGATCTGTTATCAATTTTTTTCTAAAATTATGGCTGTCACGATGTAACCACGTCGCACCACGGTAGAGCACAAAATTATATAATTGAGTCTGATTTTTCTTTTGAATCCGAGGGTAATGTAAGTTGAATCCGCCTCTTCTTTCATGACTTGGCCTGAACACCCAGTACTTACTTGGAGACAGATTAGTCTCCATGCGTAGAAGGCGAAAACAAAAAACAAGGTCCGCAATTGTCCGTCTGTATTAAGCGTCTTTAAGCCTAATTGTCTTAAACGTTCGTTATAACTTGGCATTGAGTTGTGACATTGGAAAGCACGATGGAACAGCAGCCTTGTAAACAACTTCTGTACCTTTTCTAGCTTGATGATTTGCTTTTTACGTGTGGGGTTCCAAATCTGAGAACAATACTCAAGATGCGGCAGTACATATGTCTTGTAAAGGCGTACCAGAGTGGTTACATCAGTGGTATAGGTATTACGAAAAACTGCGAAAAGGGTAGCATATGCCTTGTTTACTATATGTTCGATGTGTTTAGATAATTTCAGATTCGTGTCAACCAAAACTCCAAGATCTTTAGAGAGTTCGCAGCTTTTCAACTTCACATCATTGATTGTATATTGTGTAGAATAGGCTTTACCTATATGCAGTACAAACGTCTTCTTTGGGTTCACATCGATATCCCAGTGTGTGGCCCAAGATTTCAAGTTTTCAATCGAACGTTTAAGAGCTGAGTGAACCTCGTTACAGTTATCATCGTTGAAGATACCATATATTTTAATATCATCAGCATACATTTGCACTCTTACATTTTCAGATGTTTTGAGGTAGGACGGCAAATCCAAGGTATAGATCACAAAAAGTAGAGGAGATAGAACTCCGCCTTGGGGTACGCCACTAGTGCAGTGAAATCGGTCAGAAAACCTTCGCCCCACTTTGACAGTCATATGTCGTTCAGATAAATAGGATCTCAACCACTTCAGGACTTTCCCCGCAATCCCAAGAGATTGCAGTTTTAGAAGTAGTTTAGCATGGTTCACCTTTGTCAAATGCTTTGGATAGGTCAACGTAGATAATGTCGATTGACTTACCATGGTTCAATGCTAGATTCCAGTCATAAAAGCTGTCAACAAGGTTTGTTACAGTCGATAGCCCCGGAAGGAAACCGTGCTGCTCGTGTGGAATAAGCTTATTTTTTAGTAACCAATCAAGAATTCTCTTTCGAATAATCTTTTCTGTCACTTTGACAGGTGTTGGAGTAATAC